TCAATATCCGCACAAAATAATTTTTCCTCTAACGATCCTATTATTATTGCACTTCTCCATACAATCAGTTTATCATATCCTTATATTTTGAATTGTAGCATCAAGCCCCCACATACTATAAACTTTTTATCTTCTCTTATATTGTATTAGGAAGCCTGCAATGATCTCCAAAATAGTCGTTTATTTTTAAAATTGTTGGAAGCTGTTCTCAAAACTGGGAACCGCATGAATGATGGTACATACCGTGGAGGAGCAGAGGCATTCAAGCTTGACACACTTTTAAAACTTTCGACGTTAAAGGCGCTGATGGGAAGACCACACTATTACATTTTGTTGTTCAAGAGATCATCCGGTCTGAAGGCAGGCGTGCTGTGCAAATAGCAAGAGATAGTAGGAGTAACTCCAGCATTACAATTTCTAGCTTTAATTCTGTCGACTTCAGCGACGAAAATCCCGAAGAATCTGAAGATCAGTACCGAAATCTTGGTCTCAGGGCTGTTTCAAGCCTCAGCTATGAACTTGAGAATGTCAAGAAAGCTGCAGCACTGGACGCCGATGCTTTAACGAGCTCAGTTGTAAGTCTTGGCAATAGATTAGCAAAGACAAAAGAGTTCTTAAAAGCTGATATGAGTAACTTGGAGGAGAAAAGTGCTTTTCATGATTCTTTGAAAGCATTTGTTGAGCATGCTGAGGCTGATATCACTCAACTTTTGGAGGAAGAAAAGAGAATAAGATCATTAGTAAAGCTTACCACTGACTATTTCCATGGGAATGCTGGAAGAGACGAGGGGTTGAGATTGTTTGTCACAGTGAGGGATTTCCTTGAGGTTTTGGATAAGGTCTGCAAAGAAGTTAGAGAAGCACAGAGGAAAGTGATGAATACATCAAAAAGCAAGGATAATACAATACCGAAATCAACGTCGGAACCCCGGCAGTCGAGATATTTCCTGCAATCAAAGACCGGCGCTTGGAGGATTTTAGCTCTGATGATGATGAGGAATCTTAATTAAGTGTTAATATCAAATAGGCATGTTATTTATCTCAGAAAGTGTTCTGTTAGACCGGTCCAGTCTGTCCAGGCGGGACCAGTTCACAGGCGCGAACAGGCAAGATCTCCGCCTCCTGCGGAGATCGGGCGGGCCGACAGCTCAAACAGAGCATTTTAGGAAGAATTTTTGGGGGGTTTCAGAGAGAAATTTGAATGTAGGGACTATTTATGGAATTCCTTTTGATTTGTATGCATTAAATAGTTGATTTTGCTAGGGTTTGAGTATCTTGAATTTGGCTGAAATTTGAGATCTATTAGATTTAGGTTTCCTTTGGGTTCTAGCGGCGTCTAGAGATTTGGGAGAGATCGATCCTCCTCTTGAATTGAGGATCAATTGTATCTTTGCTATTTTTATTCATCTACTAATGAAATACAAGTGTTTGTGTGGTTTTCTCTCAGTTTTCTAGCCGTTTCCTCTGATTTGGTGCTGATTTCTGTTGTAAACAGCAGAACTCCTGCTGGTTGCTCCTCCGTTTGGCTTAGGAGTGCTTGCAAACTCAAGTGTTACCTTAGGGTTACTTGCGGACTCAAGTATTTCCTATCAAATTGGTATCAGAGCATCATTTTTGGGACCGTTGGCGGCTGAAATCCTGAAATTTTAGCCGGAGTTTCGTTTCCGAAAAAAGATCTTCGTGAATCTTGAGAAGAACGATGGCC